AGTCGTTAAATATACGTTGTAAGTGTGGACTTACTCATACGGTCAAGTCGGTTAATATACGTTAGAGCTTGAATATAACATCAGTTAAGTCACGGAAAGTACGTTGTAATATGTTACACATGTAGTTCAAGTCGTTGAATATACGTTGCAATTTGAAATGTACGCTAACGGGTCGAGTACGTCAAACACGTTTTCCCTCGTACATGTCCCAAATATCCCCATACTCACTTGCATTCATGTAGTGACCTTGTACTTGCTTGTAATGTGTTTTCAATTAAGCAATATTTATTTCAATGTTTAACACGTGTTTATTGAGACTGTACAAAGGGCAAAACATCGTTACTTAACGACAGTAAAAAATGTGTATTGAAATAAAACGGTGATTTTTTTTATACGAGAAATTGTTGTCCATGGTGGTAATGAAGTGTGTATGCAAACAGATTGCAAAAAATGTGAAAACTGTGGTCGATACAGTCTGTTAACTATGGCCTATTTTTGCAAAAAATGTCTGGCAGGATAGCATGCTCAGATGCTGGCTACTGGAGTGCATTGAATCATGACCGTTTTTCAACGACTTAACCTGATAGCGTGAAACTCCCCTGACCGGAAAAGGGTTAAAGAATTCAGTTCTGGATCCGTATCCGAGACATGTCTGGATTGATCAAGTTCAAACTTCACACACACAAGGTACATCATGTCACAAATATGTATGTGCATTTGTTTCATGATCTCATTAACGATAGCCAAATGGGGGCCGCTTTAAGGCCGAAAATGCATTGAAATCGCACATTTTCACCATTCCGGACCCGTATCTCAGTTATGCATCGATGGATTTTGTTCAAATTTGGTACATACATTAAACATAATAGGACCTTGATGCACGTCTTTTTTTTTCGGATCAAGTTTGAAATGGCCGACTGGCGGCCATTTTGTTAAAGAATTCAGTTCTGGATTCGTATCCAAGACATGTCTGGATTGATCAAGTTCAAACTTCACACACACATGGTACATCATGTCACAAATAGATATGTGCATTTGTTTCATGATCTGCTTAACAATAGCGGAATGATGGCCATTTTAAGGCCGAAAATGCATCAAAATCACGTATTTTCACAATTCCAGAACCGGATCTCAGTCATGCATGGATGGATTTTGTTCAGATTTAGCACAATGTGTTGTACATATGCAGGTGCATTTCGGTCATGATCTGCTTTGAATGTATATGTCACTCAAATATGAACGGAACGGGGACGTGTCATTGACAATGACTTGTTTCCTTCATGTGTTGCTGTTGCATGTTCTGTGTAGCATTAATGATGTAAGAGCAATTTTGTCTAAAAAGTGGGAATATTTATTTATCCATGATGTATACTTTTTGAAGTGGCTTTGTTTCCAAACCAGCCTATAGAAGAAATGTGTGTAGTAATATGGCAACATTTTCTTCATTCACTGCACTGGTTTTCAAGGGGAAAGCACTTCATCTAGGAATCTGGGTTGGTGTAATAAGTTTGACCTGAGAAGTCTATGCCAGAGAATGCAGTCCTACCTGTGTCCTACAAGAATGATATGTGGAACCTCATCACCATAGAATGCATCAACAACATTACCAATATCTCTGTGGGGAGAAAAATTAATATCTTTATTTATCTTGATTTCAATTTCACTTTGAAATCTCATGTTCCTGCAGATTATCATAAGCAGAGAAAAGAATTATTTCCTGTGATGATATAAAAATATAATCATTATTTTTATTACATATTATATATTGC